TACTCTACTCTACTCTCTACTCTCTCTCTCTACTCTACTCATTTTAATTTATAATTCCCATCTTATTTTTGTTTATTTCTTCTAAATATTTCTTATTTTTAGATTTATTAAATTTTAGGAGCTTTTTAAGGTCTAATATGCAAATTTGGAGCTAACATTGCCAATGGACCCAAATAAATATCAGATCTGTATAGATTTGCAATGTTTTTAAACCATAATTTGAACGACCTCGCTCTTGTTACTAATTTCTAAATTATCTCGTTCTACAATATATTTGAGTTGATATCGCTCTGAGATCAACCCAACTTCAAGCGTAAATAATTTGACACCCACCGGTGGGCTCTTAAGTTTCAAATTTGCCTATTTGATCTGAAAAAAACTTTCCAAAAAATTGCAATAATATTCTACAAAAAAAAAACAAAAAATATAATTGAAAAATGCACAAAAAACATGCGAAACGACCCCAAAAATTGATTCGGAGTGCTATGTTGTGCAAGGCATAAGGCATATCGTACTGCACAACACTCCTCGTGTTGTGTTGCACGACACGCCTTGTATCACGCAATATGGATTGCCAAAAAAAAATTTCGGCAAGCCATTCTTGCCCTGTTCTAGCTCCCTTTTGGTTTTTTTTACCTTTTGGTTTTCCTGTTTTCACTGTTATGCATTTCTAAAAAAATAAAATAATAAAAAAGAAAAAGGAGATAGGGCCTAGGTTCTTCGCGTTATCGGTTTAGAAGTAGATCAATTTTTCTTTTCTTATCTACTTTCAGTCTCATCTGCATTATTGGTTTAGAAGTAGATCAAATTTTTTTTATCTCATCTACTTTCAGTCTCATCTGCATAGATTAGAATCTTTCGGAGTTTATCTATTTGAAGATCTTAATCTTTTGTGCTAATTTTAAAAAATAACAATAATAATAATAATAATAAAATAGGTCGATGGAGATACATACACTGAAGCCAACAACAACAGTATTGCTAAAACAAAATATACAGCGGTCATGATCGACCCACACACACACTAGCCGACAACGGTATAGCTAAAACAAAATATATGGCGGTCATGATCGACCAACAAAACATCCCATTTCACAAGCAAAAGAATGATAATTATGATATTTACATGTGTACAGGGTTACAATTTTTTTTCTACAACCAGCATCATCTGCAGGTGTAATGCTCGACCTGCATGCAAATGTGCTATACAAAGAGGCTTCTCTCTAAGAAGTCGATTGCTCTTTACCTTTTTCTTTCCTTTTCTTGTGCTAAAGAATTGCTGTATACAAACATTTCACTCTCAAAGCAAGTATCGGGTTCATCGAAGATCAGTTTTGTGAGGTTGCAGTGTACTCAAATAGCAAACGCGTAGATGGGGCCGACTGAAATAGAATCCTTAGTCGACTGGTAAGTTGATAAAGGAGAGTCCACTGCATTGCCATCTCTGATTCATTCATCTGCCTCACCACAGAAGCCTGGAAGAAACCATAAACCCAAAAAGGTTCAAATCTTCGATTTTGAAAAGGTTTCGGCCGTTAGCAAAATCCTAAGCTTCAAAAAGTTTTCAACCCAAGATTGGTCAAATCTCTCTGTTTTTCTTTTAAGTAGTTCAGCTATAGGAATCAAACTTGAGAGATAGCACTGTTAAACATCAGCTGCTAAGCACTCAAGCCCAATTCCAAGTTTAGCCAACACTTGATCTCATCAAAATCCAATTGCTTTCAAAAGAGAAGGAAAAGGAACAGAAATTTGGGTTGGATATCTCAAGAAATGCAGGTCAGTCAGATAAATAAGAACTACTAGTGATGCAGTCCTGTCAGTGAAACAAATGCAAAATAGAGGCAGTTTCAATAGGAGGTTAAAACCATATTTCAGCTGAAATTCACCACATAATGGAACCGGCTTTCATGCCATATGCATCTGCATGTCAAGTAGAAATATAAGATGCGGTATTTCATGTTAAGCACGCTTGATCTCATCGAAATGCAATTGCTTTCAAAAGAGAAGGAAACAGAACAGAAATTTGGGTTGGATATCTCAAGAAATGCAGGCCTGTCTGAGAAATAAGAACTGCTAGCAATGCAGTTCTGTCAGTGAAACAATTGGAAAATAGAGAGTTTCAATAGGAGGTTAAAACCAATTTTCAGCTAAAATTCACCACATAATGGAATCGGCTTTCATGCCATATACATCTGTAGAAATATACGATGTGTGCTTTCATGTTAGTTCTGTGTTTTGAGTTCAGTTCTGTCCTTTACCCAAGAGAGGAGGGCAAACCAAAAACCCCAAGAGAATAAGAAAATAAAGTTGAAGCCACACTACCCTAAAGTGAGAAGCTAACGACAAAAGGGAAAGAATACCACAATCTAGCGGCCCATTTGGTTCCCTGGAAATGGGTCTCTGGAAACCCATTTCCATGGAAACGGCCCGTAAATGCTGTATGCTGCCCTCCCAGGATGGGAGTCCCATTTCTGCATGGAGACTGATTTCCACATTTTAAGCCTTTTTTGTGGAAATGTCAATTCCACCGAAACATGTAGAATTAACATTTCTAGGAGATTGAAAGAGAGCCACGGCCCAAAAAAAACTTGGAATGAGTTTATATTTTATAGAGTGGATTAAGGTCCGCCCAAGAAAAGGACCTCAAACTCTAGAGATGTAATAATTATAATAAGGGATTGTGACCACCTTTGATACAAGGTGGCCACAATTGCTTACAACCATCCGATGTGAAATTTAATGGCTTGGATGTGTCACAAAGTGCGAGAAAATTTCTTTTTTATTGAGCTTGGTCAATGGAATAATTGCAACCACCCAATTTCACATCCAATGGTCAAGATGAATGTGACCACCTTGTACCAAAGGTATATGGTCTCATTCTATACTTTCCCTTATAACAATCAATATATAATAATTAATATATATGAATAATAAATAATGTATATTACAACTATAAGTAATTATATGTTATACGACAAAACTAATTGATATATTATAGTAGAAATATTATATTATATAATAAATTCCACATGTTATTATATTATAACATAATATATAATATTAATTACTATATATAATATATTATTATCTCTCATATTACATGATATTATATTATAACCCTTTAATATATAAAATAATTAACATATAATAACACGTAATACATAATTAACATCAATTATATGTAATAAGTATATATAATAACTATAAAAAGGGATTGTATACAATGAGACAATTTACCTTTGATACAAGGTGGTCACAATTACTTACAACCATCCGATGTGAAATTTGATAGCTTGGGTGTCACAAAGTTCGAAAAAATTTCTTTTAAAGTTTGAGCTTGGTCAATGGAATAAATGCACCCACCCAATTTCACATCCAATGGTCAAAGATTAATTGCAACCACCTTGTACCAAAGGTAAATGGCTCATTCTATACTTTTCCTTATAATAATGGGTGTCATTTGTATAGAGCCGAGGCTTTAAACAATCAAAGTAAAGAGCACCTTCAAATCATCATCATTTCATCATTTTAACCTTTTCTCAATTAATTGGGGTTGAATCCTGATTCTCCATTCTACTCAAATAGTATCAAGAAATGTGGTTTCAATATTGGAAATCTTTGTGACAGCCTTAAAATATATTTTCATCTCTAATTATAAATTTTAAAGCTTAAAAAATAGTGTAGAACAAGCTGATCTATGAAAACTTGAAAATCTTGAAAATTGACAATCCAAAAATGCATTGCAAGATGCACTATTTTCAAAACTTGAAATCCATTTTTATCTCATGTCCATGGATCTTGAGGTTGAGATGATCAATTTAAGGATATTTGCACATCAAAACAATCCCTGCAAGTGAAAATTTTGTGGTGCGCCCTAATTTGATTGTTTAGAGCCTCGCACTTATATAAACTTTTTCCTATATAATATATAACCATAGTAATTATAGATATTATTATTATAATTATTTATAGGGATTGTATACAATGAGACCATTTATCTTTGTTACAAGGAGATCATAATTACTCCCAGCTATTAGATGTCAAATTGGATAACTTGGGGTGTGCCACGAAGTACGAGAATTTTTGTTTGAACTTTTGAAACTAGTCAATGACACTCTTACAATGCCACCCGATTTGAAATCTTGCTGTGATTTCCTTGTACCAAAAGTAAATGGTCGCTTTCTATATTTTTTCTTATTTATAATATAATATTATAGAATAATATCATATTATAATTAAATATAATATTTATTATACTATATTATATAATTTCCAGGAGATATGTCTTCCAGCAATCCAAACAGTGGATTAGCATCTTCCAGGTCTCTTACCAGATGCTGTCCGAATAGCTGATGCGAATTCCGGGAGAAGCATTTCCCTAGGATACTCATTTCCAAGGAACTAAATAGGGCCTAGTGAAATTTGGATTGTAGTCCTTCAAAGAAGCATGCTTCATCCATTCTCGAAGATGGATGGTGGAGATTAATTATAGCTGGGTGAATAAGCCACCTCACTACAATTAATCTCTAACATCCATCATTAGAAATGGACATTAGATGCTCCTTTACAGTACCATAAACCATATTCCATTATGTTATGGCAAAATAAAATTGATTAATGCATTTCTGTTTTAAGCGTACCTGGAGGCGTTTCCCCAGTTGAATTTCAACTTCAGTACCAAATGAAATATTAGCCAGTGATTTGAGGGGATCAACTGTTGGATCAAGTGGAAGAGAGCTAGGGAATTGAGGTGCAGAGACAAGTCTCCATCGAGCTTGCCCAAATTGTCCCTTCCCTTCTATCCTTGGCATCAAAGTCTTCAGTGTTGCAGCTGCAAGCTTCTTGAATGCAAGTTGACCATCACGTTCCAACAACTCTTTTAGTTGACTCTCAAAGACCCTAGCTGCCTGAAAAGCACATTCCTTTTTCCATGGTTACTACAATGGTCCTCTTTTATAGGTCATAAACTTTGTAAAAAGGACAAAAGGAACACCATTATAAAATGCTGAAAGAAGTTCAAATTGTGGTAGGGAAAAAACAAATAGCCCCATGCCATCCCTAGTTAACCCATACTTGCTAATCTATCCACCACCATTATGATTCCCTCAAGAACTTCAGACTACAAATGAGGAACAAACAATGTCATGAATTTGTGATTGATGGTACTAACGACAGTTATTATCTATATCACAGATTACTAAACAAATTGAAAATAAATATTATTCATACCACTATTTTTTAACTCGCCTCAGGCCTTGGACTTGGTCCTGGCCCTGATCTGAAGCGAGTAACTTGGCTGAGTCAGAGTGGACTTAACCAAGAAGTCTACAGGGCCAAAAGGCCCTAAAAGACAAAAAATTTGTTTAAACATAAATTAAAAACTGCCAAAGTGAAAGAAAACCAAAGGCAACATAAAAAGTCCAAAAAAGCTAAAAACACATATGTAAAACATGGATATAGAAAAAATTGATTAATGGTTGGAGAAATTGTAGAAAAATCCAAAAAAAATAGAGGAAAATAGAAAGATAGGGCATATGACAAGAAAAACTCACAAATCTTTGTAAAACAAATCCAAATGACTTACATAATTTTTATACAACAAGTCCATATTTTGATTCCATATTCTAATTTTCTTTTAACAATCTTTTTTAGTTTTTTTAAGTGGCCCAAGTTGGACCCCAGTACTTGGCTCGGCAAAGAGCCGAGTCTGAATAACTTGCCCGAGATTGAGAGGATAAATCAATGGTTAAAATTAATACATAGGAAGAAGTGTAGTTAAGGAATATAATTGCATTGCCAACAATTAGTCCTTTTCCAATTATACTGTTCTACTTTAGCATATATCATAAATCAACGTAAACCTCATGCAATTACATGATTAACACAATGTGATCTAAAATTAATGTTGGTTTGAGAGGCAGTCAATCCCTTGTGCATTAGATGGACTCCTAACCGGACAAGGAAGTTGCTAATTGGATTGGCAATGGAGAGAGAGGGAGAGATATGAAAACTGCAGTTTAGGAATATCTGAGAGAGAAGTGAGTCCCAAGTTTGTAGGATTGAGATGGGAGAGTAAGACATGAAACGTAAATTTGGAGGATCGATATGGAAGGATAGAGAATTTAGTAAGTATTTTGGAAATTCTAATCCAACATTTGGCTGCTATTATAATAAAGAGACCAATCAGAATTCATTCTCTAAAGATTTTGAAAAAAAAAAAGAAAAGGTAAGAGTGATTGAGGAAAGGAAAATCTACATATAAATGCTAACCAATTGTCCACAGAGAAAGGTTAACAGATTTTGAGGGGGATGTAATCTCCATTCGATTTGTGAATTATTTGTAATTAATTTTGATAACTTGCCCAGCAAGCCAACAATTCACAGATTATTGGTCTGATTTCCTATGCAATTGATATCTTTTATATTATGAGTACTTTCCTCCCATACAAATTAGGGCAAGTGAATGATCGTAATTGGTAAATGATGGTATTATGTCCTTTATGAGATACAAGGGTATCTACAAGTCATTTTGAATATGCAAGTATTGTAGTCAATGATTTTAACTCGCCCTGGTCCACGGACATGGCCCTGGCCCCAGGCCAATAACTCAATCAAGTGGTGTACAAGGCCAAAAAGGCCCAATAAAATATAAACAAATTCAAAAAATTCTTTAAAAATAAATATTGCAAAAGTGAATCAAAACAAAAGGAAGGTATAAAAAGTCCAAACAAAAGGATGTGTGTGTGTGTGTGTGTGAGACAAAGGGAAAGCATAAAAAGACCAAACAAAAGGGTGCGTGCGTGTGTCTGTGTAATGCTGAGATTAGCCCACTAGCTCATATGAACATATGAGCCCAACAGCCTAGATTGAATTTGGGCCGATCTGACGGTCGCGACCTTCCTATTTTAATTTTAATTTTTTTTTTTATGAATCCAAATAACTTAAAATTTTGAGCATACGTTATTAAAAAATAGGAGAATCTAATAAAAATATAAAAAAATAATTTGCAAGAAATAAATTGACCAAAATACCCCTGAAAATTATTTTTTAAATATTTTTATTAGGTGCGCCTTGATGAGAAGAATGGACACCTAAAATTTCAAGTTATTTGGACTTGTAAAAAAGAATTAAAATTCAAACATGAAATGCGGTCATGACCGTTAGATCGGCTCAGAATCAATCTGAACCGTTGGGCTCTATGTTCATATGAGCTAGTGGGTTAATCTCTGCATTTTTCTACATATATATATAAATGATGGCTTAGGCCCCCACTAGCTTACAACTACATATAGGCCCAACGGTCCAAATTGAATTTGGGCCGATACAATAATCACAATTGCATTTCGTATTTGAATTTTAATTTTTTATATATAAATCCAAATCACTTGAAATTTTGGGCGTGTGTTTTTTAAAAATATTAGAATCCAATAAAAATATCAAAAAACCATATCATGAAAAATAAATTGACCTAAGTACCCCCGAAACATTTTCAAGGGTATTTCGGTCCATTTATATTTTAATAATTATTTTTTTTAATATTTCTATTAGGTGCGCATTCCAACGGCCCAGATTGAATCTGGGCCGATCTGACGATCACGGATGTTTGGTAGCGCTTGAATTTTATTTATTTTTCTTCAAATCCAAATCACTTGAAATTTTAGGCGTGTTCTTCTCATCAACGTGCACCTGATAAAAATATTTAAAAAAGTATTCACAAAAAACAAAATGACCAAAATACCCCCCCGAAATTTCAAGTGATTTGAATTTGTAGAAAAAAAAAAAATTCAAACACTAC